TTAAAGTCTCACTTCAATAAACATTCTAGTTTATGTCGTTACATCTGCAGATGTGGGAGCCTGTAGATCTGTTTGTAGGACTTGAGTTAAGTTTATGGGACCCTAGATCTCAAGTGTTACAGCCTTCAAGTCCCAGCTAATTCTTGAGTCCATGTTTTTCTGACTAGAGCTGCTTATGTCTTGTTTATTTTTGTTTGTTCTCTGCATCGGATTCACACCTTTTCCCTGCGTTGTCCCCTTTAGTGGTTTGGTAATCTGGTGACCATGCGGTGGTGGAACGACTTGTGGCTGAACGAAGGCTTTGCAACGTACGTTGAGTACCTGGGAGCCGACCATGCTGAGCCCGAGTGGAATGTGGTAAGGATTTACCCGCCACCTCACGGCCTCCACAATCGGAGCAGGAGATCGGTGGAGTCCTGAGATCTCCTTTGTCTCCCAACAGAAAGACATCATCGTGCTCGCTGACGTCTACCGAGCGTTCGGCGTCGATGCCTTGGCCTCTTCTCACCCTCTGTCCTCTAAAGAAGAAGACATCCTGACACCAGCCCAGATCAGTGAGCTGTTCGACGGCATCTCATACAGCAAGGTAACTGCACTGACCTGCACGGGTAGAAAATGAATTAGCACAACTCCATTTGCTCACGACGAAAGAATCACAAAACTACAGAGACACAAAACGACCACCATGGGACACAAAATGACCAGAAACGGTAAAAAAAATACCACAAAGAGACAGAAAATGACTATTAGGAGACACAAGACAACCACAAAGAGACAAAATCAACTACAGAGATAGAAAACGGCCATCAAGAGACACAAAATGACCAGAACAAGACATGAAATAACCACAAAGAGACACAGAATGACCAGAAAGAGACACAAAAAGACTGCAAAAAGACACAAAATAAATACAAAGACATGCAATCAACCACAAAAGGACAAAAACAACTACAGAGACACAAAGCAATCACAAAGAGACTCAAAATAAGCAGAACGAGACATGAAATAACCACAAGTAGACATAAAACGACTACAGAGAGATGCAGATTACAAAGAGAGACAAAAATACCACAAAGAGAAAGAAAATTACCATTAGGAGACACAAAACAACCGCTAAGAGACACAATTTGACCACAAAGAGACACAAAACTACTACAGAGAGACACAAATCAACTACAAAGATACAAGAACAGCTACTTACTTACTTACTTATCCCCATCTTCCCTAGTAGGAAATAGGGCCGCGACACGGTGACGCCATTCTTTTTGGTTCTTTGCTAACTTCAACGCCTCGCCCCAAGTCAGTCCCATGTCTAGCAGCTCCGCCCCGACTGTTCTTCGCCAGGTGGTTTTAGGCCGTCCAGGCATGCGTTTCCCAACAGGGGTAACCAACGGCATTCACTAATGCCAAGAATGTCCAAGCCATACTTACTCATCTCTTTCAACACCTGGGCTGGTTTGGATGTTTCATACATGGTGCAGACGTTCCATGCTCCAATTCTAATTCGTGCCTTAGACTACTTCTCGCAACTCTAACTTCCCCATTGGGGCTTTCATTAGGGTCGTTCATGTTGCCACTGGTCAGCTGGCTTAAGTCCACTCTTGAGCCTGTGGGTGGTTGATATGTCATCGTAGTCGTAGTTTCCGTAACAAAGTATTTTTTCCGGGGTGGGGGAGTTAGCCCCACGCTCAACCCCAACCTGGAGGACCAGGGGATCACTCTTCGTCTCGTCCCTACCTTTCGACCTGTTCGGCATGGGTGGCCCTACCAGGAGATTAATACTCCCGCCGACATAGCTCTAGAGGTCATTGGGACATGCAAACCACTCCACTACGATAAGGTGGTGATCCCAATGGAGTGGACAAAAACAACTACAGAGACACAAAATGACACTCAGAGACACAGAACAACCACGAAGCAACACCTACCTTTATGATAACTATTATTACTTAAGTGGTAATATTGTAGGGCAGTATACTCTAACTGTGTACCATAAATGAGTCAGTGCCACATTTTAAGAAACTCTAGAATTTCCTTCTGTTTTATGTTGTTTTTCGTTCTGTTGAGCTCTTCGTACCTTTGTTAGGAGAAGTGTTTAATAAATATTACCATCATATTATCAAACAGAAATCTGAAAAATGTGTTTTCTTGTCCTCAGGGAGCATCTATCGTCAGGATGTTGTCAAATTTCTTGACCGAAGGCGTCTTCACGAAAGGAGTCCAGGTACACTACGCTACACATTATGCCTCTGAAGCCGATTACTGAACTTGCTTTTAGAGGTGCTCAGTTCGTAAAAGAACTACTCATTAGCTATGGATTCAGGTGGACTGAGTGTTCACTCAGCGTTCGTCCAGTGCAGCTA